CGGCCCGAGCCCCCGCTGCCGTGGCACCCAACCCCCGCAGCACCGCTGGAGACCCTGACGTCGTCGCCTTGATTTCCAATATCGGGCTGCGGCCGTTCCAGCGGGACGGGCTGCACCGTCCCCTTCACCGGCGCGTGCCTGCCGTGCCGTGTCTCGTCAGCCAGAGCCACAGGCGTCGCTGCTCCCAACACCAGACCAGGAGCGGGTGACTTTGATGGAGATCTGCGTTTGCCAAAGCCCTGTGCGGGAGGGAGGCGAAGCTTTGCTGCGGGGCGGCGCGGCCCCACGGGGTCCCCGGGGAGAGGGGGCTGCTCGGGGTGGGGAGGGGACAGGGGCCCCCCAGCAGCTCTGCCAGGGGTCCTGCAAGGCTGGGCTGCGGTTTCCCTGGCTAGCAGAGGGCAGCAGGCAGTAACCTGGTGATTCAGCAAACAGCGCTAAATAAACAAACAGATAAAATCAAATCAATGGGTAAGTGTAAATAAACAAATTAGACAAGGTAAACAAACAAACGGCCTACTGTAAACAAACAATTACATGAACCAATCAACTGTACATTTCAGCTTAAAGAGCGCTCCTGGCCCTGCTGGCAGCTGGGGAAGGGGCACCCAGGCCGAGTGCCCCTCGCGGGCTCCCAGTCCCCAAGGCAAGGGGCAACGGATTAGGGAGATGTCACGGATTTTGTCGTCAGTTCAGCTGCTACCCTCAAAAATCTGGTGTTTGGTTTGAAATTCCTGTTCCAAACAATACTCATTCCAGCTCTTGTTCCCCTGCCTTCAGGAGTGCCACAGGCAGGAGGTGGCTGGGGGGTGATGGAAGTGTCCGTGCTCCCCGTGCTTTGCCGCCAGCTCCCCCGGGAGCCCCCGAGCCCCAGCCTACATGGAGGGGATGGCTGTCGGGCTTGAACTTCTCGCTATAGTTAATAAATGGCGTGTCCTTTCTGATTCCACCCCTTGCACTTCCCCAGCTCCTCTGACAAAGGCATTTTACAAGATGGATAAGCCCCGTCCCCTGCTGCAAAAACCAGCACAGCAGAGCAAATGACAGAGGGTGGCACCGGTGGCACAGGGAACCCCCTCACCGCAGGGCTCCCCGGCTGCTGCCACGCCGTCACACCGCGGTGTCGGGAACCCATCCACAAACCCGACCCTGTAATCCCTCCTTAAGCACCTCAGTAATGAGAGGATTAGCCGAGGCTCCTCCACTTGCCAGGCACGGTGGCCAAGCCGGAAAATCCCCGTGCTGGTGGCACAAATCCTGGTGCCCCCCCATGCCTCCCTGCCCACCCCCCCAAACCGAGGGGCTCTGCTCGTCCTCCTCCCCCGTGCAAGGACGCTGCCCTGCTCCTGCTGCGCCCCAGCCCCGGCCGTGCCAAGCCTGTGCCGCTGCTAACGACCAGCCCCGCGTCCCCCATGTCTCCCGCTGAGCCCCGTGGGGGGG